CGAGTTCCATTATAACACCCCCTTCGTGGTTACAGATTTGAATGAGCCAAGCTCATCTCTTGTGTTTCATATTTAGGATCATAGTCTTTAATCAAATCACATCTCCATATGTATCACTACCTTAAGTAGTTCATACCCAAGCACAAGGAGGCATTAAAACAAAGAGTATTCATAAATTGGCTCTTTTAAATTTGTTAGCACCTATCACCTAATGTCCATACACTCCACACAGATTCATAAAACAAATAGCTAAAAAATATAACCAATGAAACATAATTAAATGTTACTGAATCCCCTTTCTCTATATGACCTTACTATGCAAGATGAGATAGATTTCATACCACAAAACCATGTAGTGTGGTACCTAAGCTTTATTGATTCTTTGCTTTTACTTATTGACAAGCTTTTATAATCTTGGAAGAACATACAATTGATGAAGAATATATTGGTCATCGGTTTCACAAGTCACGAAGTGTCTATCTCAGCTGCACTTGGATTCTCCCTTTCTTACACCATGAAAAAATACTTATCTTCATCCCATCATCTCAAATATCATAAATTCAATTCTCTTATTGATCTTTAGCGTTTCTATGCTACCACCAAGTCTTTCTATATATCTATTCATTTCGAAGAAACCAACATGTTTTTATAAGTATTGTGTTTCTTCTTCTTTCTGCTATTCCCAGATCGAACACTCTTTACATAGAGTGTCATATCTCGTCAACTTTGTATTACCTCCCACTGAAATTTTACTATTATAAACGATACTCTTGGCACACTATAAAAATTTTAAATGGACCTTAAAAATGCATTCATTATGAGGAATCCAAAGATGTGTTAACATGCCACATCTTTTTAATTTACTGCAGAATAAAACATGAGCATCTCATGATAAAAATATGATATCTTTCAACTCATAAAAAGTTTATCTCTTAATCATTTTGAGTATTGAAATAGACTAAAAAAATATAAAGTAATGCTTAGTTCCATCTCTCAATCACACCATGTAATAGATTTACAATTTAGTGACATTCTCTTCACAATACAATTTTCTCAGCAGAAAATCAAGTTGCATACCTCTCAATAAAATATTTTGTTTATCTCAATTTACAAAGGATTTCTTCCTAAAATCTTTTCTGTTGAAAACTAAACTCAAACCTAAAGCATAAAATCTTGGTGTGAATCCCAAACAATAATTTTCTTCAAAGAAATGAATAAGTGACATTCACATCACAAAATAAACCATACTGCAAAATTCTAAACTGAACACTATCTAATAAAATTATATTTTCTCTCTACCCTCAAGGAGTTTCCCTTTTAAACCAATTTTGTTTGAAAGTAGATACAAAATGGTAATACATATATTTCTACAAACCTCATATCGCTATGTTAAACAGGCTTGATAAATATAGTTATTCATGTCTCACTGAAGAACACACCAAACTGCTGAAAATTCAGGATGACCTCTCTTTAATAAATATTTTTTATTCCTCTCTTCCCATAGATATATTTCTCTAAAATAAATTTTATTAGAAATTATATTCAAAATGAAAGTTTAGAAACTTGGTTTGGGCTATAAAATATTTTGTCAAGAATGAAATAAAATCATGATTTCCAAGTCGTTAAAACCGTTTTCGTTGCAGAAAACAACACTTGCACACCCTTCAAAACAATGATCCTATCATTCAAACCACAAGGATTGTCTTCATGAAAATTTTTGTTTCAAAGTATACTCAATTTTATGAGTACAGTTAAATTTACGCTAAAATTAAAATCATATGATTGGTGGAAAAATTCATGGAACTCAATGGACAGTTCCTGGATTTTGCAGGATCAGAACTGATACCCTTCATAGGATCTCCCTCTGAAATTTTGCGAATAGATCCTATTCTCAAAAATACATAATATCACTGAAGTATGCAATAGAAAAATACCTCATTATTTTCTTCATATCACTGCTGCAAAAATAGCACAGAATACCTATTCTACAAAGTGTCTTTTCGATGTTTTGAATATTTTCATAATTCCACTGGAGGTGTATCACTTGACCACAAGAAGTGGGGGCAATTATATCTCATTTCCAAACAAGATCTTGACTCAAATAAAGAGGAAAGACCACCAATGATAGCAAGTTTCAATAACTCTGATACCAATGAAAGAAGAACTTGTGTGATCTAGCCGGAGTACATAATAATTATTTTTATTTCTTTTTCAATTCGTTTTCTTTTCTTCATGGTCTAGATTACTTACATGTAGTCTTTTTACAATACAATAACTTCAAATAAAATAAAATAAAATAATACAATAGGATCTCAAGAACTTGGAGTAATTCAAAATTTTTCTTTCAATAACAAAGAAAAGACACAATAAATAAATATGGAAGAAAAAAAAGAGGCTGTAGAAGATTACCTCAATCGGGCTTAGTACACCTCACGTCGAGTCTCCTCCTTCTGATGGTGCTCGGGATCTTTGATCAGTTTCTTGATTCTCATTTTTATGGCAAAACCCAAACAATGCACATCGATCATAATATATAACCATGCATTTAAAGCCTCAATGCTTAAGCCTAATTCAAGCCCCTTAGCTTGACCCTTATGAGGGATAGAAATAAAAAAAGGGCGAAGAAAACTACTAGCTAGGGATGATCCATTTGATGCCCACAAAATCATGTAACCAAAACCTTGCTTGATTTAGAACCGATAAGAAAGATTCAAACTTAACCTAGTCTAGTTTGGGCATGTTCCCCTTAGGATAGGTTGTGAGAGAGAGTAACCTATGTGGGCCCATGGAGAGGCTTGAGAGAGAGATTCTATTTTAGAGATAGAGAATATAAAGTAAGAGGTATATAGACAATGGAGGAGAATGATCTCTTTTATAGATTTTTCATTCATTAGGGTTTGATATAAAATCGTAGGAACAAATCTTGACCATCGATATAATGAGACTTGTGGGGTGAGAGATGTGAGTCATCAATTCTTAGATTCACCATCAAGATGCTAAGGAAGGTGCTAGAACCATATCCTCCCCTTCCTAAACCTATTTCCATCAAGTAAGTTAAATAAAGACATTATCTTTTTACTTTCTCTATTAAAAATATTCATTCCTTATTTGTCAAATCAAATATTCTTGATTAAAAAAATATTCTAAAACTCAATATCATCATTCCTTAATACAAGTAGGCTTATCTCCAAAATAAAAAGCCAACTAGCATGGGATACCTCTCACCATATTTAGCAAGAAAAGGCAATCCCCTATGGGTGGGGCGTGCCACCCTTTGGTGGCCACTCATGGGTCCCACCCAATTGTCCCATGTGATTTAAATGGGTCTCCTATAATTATGGAGGGTTGCATATATTTTAGAAACAATAAAAATTGATTTTTAGATTTTTCAAATATCTTAATTTATTTAAAACTTTATAAATAAATTTATCTTGATTTATAAATCCAAATGACAAAATTAAAATATCAGAAGATTCATAAAAATTTAAATAAATATTCTAAAAATAAAATAACATAAAATTAATTAAATTAAATTAAATTTGATGGGAATCAAATCTGAATATGTCTAGGATTTAATCAATACATAAGAACACTCCACCTTCAATTATGGACCACGATCCAAACTAGCTTTCTCAAACTGACCCAGCAGTTCCCATGACCCACAGTCCATTGCAGGGGCTCATGATAGGACTACCAAAGTCATTCAATGAGCTAGAGTACATAATCTGAGTATGTGGATTTCAAGTTCTCCCCTAGAGACAAACCATGATCTGCCAGACCACGATGCAACCATGACTCTATGGTGTATAGGGGTAATCTCTTGCATATATACACGCTTCATGAATATCTATGTACATACCGTATAATAATACAACGATGATGTTTTAGTCCTGTCTCTATAGACTATTCATCACACACAAGGGTCACATAATCCCTCGGCTCTCATCCGGGCATACTCCGACCTCATCAAGGGTTAACCCACTAAACCCTCCTTGGTTTCATCTCTATACCCAGGTACCTTGGGTTTTCCAACTCGGCTAGCCTAGTACGCCAAACCAAATACGAGTAGTGGCAAATTACATTTGCCTAGTATCATCCACAAGAGGACCACACTCCCATTGACTTTATGTTTCACTATATACAATGCTCATACAAGCTCTCGTAAGGCCTTTAAAGGCGACATAAACCCAACATGCTAAACCTTTTGGCATTGCTTCTATTAACGATGTAGAAATTTTCGTTCTTGAAGAAGAATTGATCCTAGTTGATTAGTTACAGTGCTTCTCTGTTCAGATTGAAAGTGACTCACCTTGCTCGTTAATGTTAGTCATGCAAGCTATTGTTCTCCTTGGAAGTTGTATACGGTTGCAGTAAATTTTCGACAACATCTCTCTAATTGTGGGTGGTTCATCTCCCATAATTTTCGTGAGGTTAATATGGTGGCTGATATTCTTTCAAAGAGAGCTACATCATCACTAGAAGCTATTGTCTCCATTGAGCCTTGCCCCTCCTTTCGATTCTACCTTTTCTTGGTGGGAATGGGCGGGCTCCTAAATCTATGATTGCTCTTTTGGCTTGCCTGAGAGTCCTTTTGGGCCTAGCCGGAAAACTTGACCATGGCCCCTTCTTCTATCTTATCTATTGCCTCGCTACTAGGCTCCCTACTCCAACCGATTGAAGTAATAGCTCGATCCTTTTTGGGGGTGTTGTAGACCATTCTCTTCTTCTCATACAACTATAACATAAATAAATAAATAAATAAATAACTAAATATATATATATATAGGTGCTTGGTTGATCCATTTCAAGAAGTCTCCTTAAGTACATTTTCATAGTATGCTTGATTCATCCATTTCTAAACAACGCCATGTAGTATTAAGGAAAAATAAAAAACTAAAAAAAGAAGCTAAATTACCGCTAAACATGGCTAAGGGGACGCTTATCATGACGAGTAGCAAGTTTCTCGGCACACGACCCGCTTGAACATGTCCAAGAACTGGAAACTAATTATTTAGAGCGCGAATGGCTTCAAAGTTCAAACCAATTATTTGGAGTGAGGGACCGTGCAAAAGATTGGAGCGCCACGATGGCGTGATTCAGAGAGAGAGGATCGCCACAACGGATGGAGAGAGACATCTAGAGCAGAGGGGATAGCTCCAACGGAAAGAGAGAGAGAGATAAGCATTGGAGAAAGCCAGTACAGCAAGCGTCTGATAAGTCTAGAGCGCCACATGCATCACCATTTCGATCAGCCGCATAATCCCTAATTTGGGCTTGGAGCCCACCAGCACACATTCAACTCAGGGTTTCAGGGTTAGAGGGGGTGAGGGAGAGGAACACAGAGTCATTTATGAAGGTATAAAAGGAAGCGGCTCGCACAACTCTTCAAAGGCAGACGGAACCCATTGCCTCCTTCAATAGAGATTAGAGATCCTGCCCCTCTCTCTCTCTCTCTCTCTCTGGGGAAGGCGATGAAGAACGAGGAAATGAGTCGGGAACGAAGCTTCAACTTTGAGACCGACGATGAAGAAAACCAGGCGGATACGATGGGCAATGAAGACTATGAATCTGATGGCTCCGATATGTCATCCACTCGCCAGTCGTCTGGCCACGGCCGAAGCTCCTATGACTGCAATACGTCCTGGCCACAGAGCTACAAGTATCCCTCTCACTGTCTCTCTCTCTACGTGAATCTTTTGTGGCTTTCACAGTAAATATTTGAGGAGTTTCTTTCTTTGGAATTTCATGATCGATTAACATCTCTTTCTTCCTCTTATTATCATAACAATCTCATGATCAAAGAAAGACACACTCTCTCTCTGGAATTTCATGATCGATTTAAATCTCCCTGTTGTTCTCTCTCTCTGGAATTTCATGATTGATTAAAATCTCCCTGTTGTTCTCTCTTTTTCACTCAATTTCTTAACACCTAAACTCTCTCATGCATCCGCCATTCTCTCTCTCTCTTTCTTCCCCCTTACACCTATTTTTTCAAGCTTAACTTCGATTTAAAATATTTCCTTTTATTTTTCTGAATTGTATATCGGCATTCATTTTTTAACAAGGAGCCATTTTTCCTTAGACTTCAAATTTCATATCAAATAGCTTGGAGTCTATCACAAAATTCCATGTATTTTTTTTGAATTTTTAAACGCAGTCAATGGAATACTCTCAGCCTCCCAGTTTCAGATCTACGGCTAGAAAATACTACAAGCTTTTTGTACCAAAACTAAAGTCTTTCTATGATTAATACTGCAGATACTACAAGTTAACATCAGCGGTCCATTTCAGAAACGGAGGACAGAGTTCTGATGTTACTTGCAGCATACTATAGTAGTGTCCTACATCTATGGTGATGCATTGCCCTTTTATTTTTCATGGAAATATGGAATCTGTTTTGGTCTCTTTTTTTTCAACTTCTCCAATAAATTAAAGAATCAAATAATTTTGACCATGGGATGTAATGTAAAATTGGATGGCTCTATTTATTCGACCAAACTCAAATTTCAAAAAAAAAAAACCAAATCTCCAACTTTGTGACTACACAAGCTAGTGGAAAATAAGAGTTCTGCCAGTGTTTCCATCCATGCTTTTGGGTGGGAATACTAGATACATTGTAATACCCAAGAAAATTGATTATTTTCGGTAAAAAAAAAAAAAGAATTCACTTGGAAATAGACATTTTGGCCTTATTTGATTCATGGAAATCCCAACAAAATGGTCTTGAACAGTTCTTTATCAATTAAGAGACTCAAGTTATAGTATGTTCCCACGGGATCATGTTATACTACTCCCTATGGCAAAATAGTTACTTGGGATTTTCTTTTTTTTAATTTAAATTTTTGGGGATCCATTTAAATATCACTTGATAATTATTTTCAGAGAAAAAATTTCGATTTTGAGTTCTTGAACATCTATATCTTTGCTTAAAAAAATCGCACAATTCGTATGCCATTTTTGTTAGGCACAAAGAGAGTGCGTTAATTGTTTATTTTCTTTGGGGTTGGTTGCTGAGTTGTAGATATTACATCGCCAAAATTTGGGATCTACAAAACGTTCTCAGCGTAAGTTTTGCTCGAGAGAGTAGATAGACAGTATACTCCAGCGGGAGCAGGAATATTTTTAGCTTATCTGTTTGTTCTGTTTTATGGCGTGACAATTACCAAGTCTGCAAGCATGAAAACCTCGTGTTAGATGCCCTTTTTTCATTTGGTTGCTTTTATTTTCTTTGGCTTACTTTCTAATGTTTAGTTTTTAAGAGGGATACCCTAGAAATTTCTTAAGGAGGTCTTTAAACCGGGTCCATTTTCAGCCAAGTTAAAATAAACTATGAGCACGTATAGCATGCTCCTGCAGGAGCATATTGCATAATCCATCAGACAAAAGAGCTATCAAGGAGGACTTTTACAATCTGAAATTTTGGAATTCAATTAGAAGATAATTATTTTCAAAACATAAAATTTATGTTGTGATTTTTTAAATGCTTAGATCTAAGGATCCAAAAATTGAATTCCATTTTTCGGGTATTCTTTTTAGGCACATATAAAATTTGATTTGAGATTTAATTTTTATTTTTTTTATTTTTTAGATTAGTTACTAAGTTGAAAAGGTTGCAATCACAAAGTCTGGGTCTACAAATGCTCCTGGCTTTTACCCGGGGAAGAGAATGGGGAGGTCCCCTTGAATAGGATCTTTTGATAAAAAGTTTAAAACTTGATATTATTGCTATTGACTAATGGTCTGCTTGGATGGATCCATTGCTTAGACATTTCGGCAATTTCGCCACTATTACATGAAACATTTCTGTTTCTTTTACTAAATGGGCCGGTGGTGTCATCCCATCTCAAGTAAGTGGGGTAGATATTCCTGTTAAGCTAGAGAGGACAAAACGCCCCATGTACAGTTTGAACTTTCAAGTAAAAGTGACAAAGTTTTGGATAGCTGGCTTTATTGCTAGAATTCACTCTAGGCATTGCAATTGATATTGGCCATTCTTATCGAGCTTCTTAGATGCAACTAAGCTTTTGATGGTCATTTACCTCTATAAGAAAAACCAATTAGGCTAAACCTGATATCTTTACATTAATGATAAGAAGATCGTAAGTCACAAGAACTCAACTCCATTGTCATTGAGATCGATTACACTTGCAAACTCTTTTAGAACATGTGTTTATCTATTTTCCACAGAACTTATTACATATTAATTAACATATATTGGTGCCAATCTTTTCATATATACTTTTTGGTACAAACAGCCTGTGAGTACCGCAATATTTTCTGGTCAAGAAAAACTGTTTTAGTGTTTTAGAGTCTTGACATTGATCAAATACTGTTTGTAATTCAAAATATTGCAGGCAATCAATGGACATATTCAGTAGCGTGACGCCACCAAGCCTCACTATCCTTGCTGGCTCAAGCTTAATAAGAGCAGGAAGTTCCTTTTGGTCTTCTTCTTCAGTTCACAGGAGACACCCCCCTCTAGAAATCAACTATCCTTCCACTGAACCCCTCATTTCTACTGCCTCAGAAAAGGAACAGCTCACATCCCCTCATCCACAAACCAAGCAATCCTTCTATGACCCACACGGCATTGTTCTTTCACAACAATGTTCCTACTCTCAGGCCGTTATCAATGGTGATTCCCTCTCTCTAGCAATTTCTAAAAATTCACAGTCCTATCATCCATGGTTGACCACTTGACAATGCATGTATATGTGTACGTATATATGTATATATATATGCATATACGTATATGCATGCATTTACATATGTCATGTGTAAGTATGGGTCTATCATCTATGTATGAAAAATTGTATAGGTGAAAATGTATGATGAAAGATTAGGCTCTTCTTGTTGTAGGGATCAATGTTCTTTGTGGGGTGGGAGTTCTCTCCACACCTTATGCCGTCAAAGAGGGAGGGTGGTTAGGGCTATTGGTGCTTTTGTCATTTGCCCTCATATCTTGTTACACTGGGGTTTTGCTGAAGAGATGCTTGGAAAGCAAACCAGGCCTCCATACTTATCCAGATATTGGGCAGGCTGCATTTGGCAAAGTGGGCCGCTTAGGTATATCTGTAAGTTCTCATTTGCTTTATGAGTAATTCTCTTGTTGATAGATGTTATCCTCTAAGAACCAATAGTTTGTCAGTCTTAAGTTCTCAGCATTAATTTTCCATTACACATTTATGGGTTTTGCTATAGATCAAGCAACTTTAACTTATCATTTTTGTTTTAAGAGTTAGATTAAGTACTCAAATCAGTATTCATTTCACCAATGTCTCTTTCTTCTCATCTGTTAGGGTTTGGATTAGTCTTAGACATAGTAGTTTGGCAGTTTGGTCATGGAGGTCAAGCGTGCGGACTCTTGAAGTTCGTCTCAAAAACTTAAACAAGCTGGCCTACCCTTTTCTACTTATGGTTCATTCTTCTCTAATAATGTGTTAGTGAGTGACATTAACATGAGCAACCCCATGTGACATTCAAGATATCATGTAGCATAAAATAAGTGCTAAAAGTTTCATTGGTTCTAGACATTTATAATTGGAATTTGAAACTGTGTGGTTATATTCTTAAGGAATAAGATCCAAAATAACGATGGAAGGATGGTGTTCATGTTCTGATTAATAGGTTTCCCCTGCCACAAGTAAAATGGTTTTCCCTTGTGGCAAAAGATGTTTCCAATCAGGGGCATCTTATGCCATTTGGAGATACTCTGTTGGAAATTATTAGAAGGAAAAGTACATAATAAGGCTGTTTACCTTTGGTAGCAACATCATAATTACCCCTAACTGTCATATGTGAAATTAGGTAGTTGGGTTTGTACCACTAACTATGCTCGTAATCTGAGAAATTTTTTTGAACTTTGTAGGAAAGAATGACACACACGTAGCTGCCATTTCCACATTAGATGCCTAGAGGTGATTTTGGCATTCTTGTATCAAAGGAAAACAGTGTTATAGTATAAAATCCTTTAATGGAAATTTCTGATGACATTTTCTAATTGATTAGAAGTATGAGATTAACCATGTGACAAATGACATTCCCACATAAAATACGTAGTACTTCCTAATAGTTAACAAATGTCCTTATGTTTGCCTTAAGCTCTTGCAATGGGACATCCAATTCTCCAATGATCTCTTGCAATAGAATTAGTTTAGCCATTTTTTTGCCCAGTTTTCATGAAAGAATACTATTCTCAATTATATATTGCTAACGTTTGATGCCAACCTTGTCCTTTGCAGATAATCTTATATGCAGAATTATATGTAAGTGCTACTGTTCCAGCTTTTCAATTAATATTCTTTTGGATTTATAGTTTGCAGTGAGTTTGTTACTATGTTAAGTTTGCTTGATCACAAAATCACTCATTTTGGCAGGCTTGCTGTGTAGAATATGTAATCCTGGAGAGCGATAACCTAAATTCTTTATTTCCAAATGCCCACTTAAATTTAGCTGGATATCAGCTCAGTTCACATCAACTTTTCGCCATTATAACAACCCTTGCAGTGCTTCCTACAGTTTGGCTTCGTGACTTAAGTGTTCTCTCTTACATTTCAGGTTCACAACTCTCTCTCTCTTTCTCTGTGTGTGTGTGCGCGCACGTGCTGGTATTTTTTCAAGTGAAGCAATTAACAAAAATGATCTCTCTCTCTCTCTCTCTCTATCTATCTATCTATTGTTAAAGTTACTAACCATAATGACTTCTTTATGTGTGTGATATGTGCATGCAAATGCGATTATGCTTGTGCCTCTGTGTTTCGACCTTCAAGTTAAGATATAAACCATATTGACCTCTATCTCTTTCTTTTTATCCCCTCTCTCCTCTCTCTCTCT